GGTCCACATAATCGAATAAATGTGTTTTATAAAGGTAACAGTGTACGGTACACAGACAATATATGATGTAATAATGTCTTATGTAGTGAGTGGGTCCACATAATCGAATAAATGTGATTTATAAAGGTAACAGTGTACGATACACAGACAATATGTAATGTAATAATGTCTTATGAAGTGAGTGGGTCCACATAATCGAATAAATGTGATTCATGAGGGTATTACAGTGTATGATACACAGACAATGTGGGATGTAATAATGCCTTACGAAGTATATGGATCCACATAATCAATTAGATGTTATTAGATTTATAAAGATAATACAGTGAATGGAACACAGGCGATAAACAACTCAAATCATTTACTGCATTACCACATCTACCAACCATGTCGTTCACTGTAACACAATATACTACCAATGGAAAGTACCTGTTTGCATGCTTTATCGATTTCAAAAAAGGCCTTTGACTCCATCTGGCATGTGGGTCTTTTACACAAGCTCAGAAACAATAGAGTCACTGGTAAAGTTTATAATATTATTAAAGCAATCTATACAAACTCTACTGGATGTGTGAAGGTTAAAAACGGCTTGACCAATACTTTCCCAATTGAGAAAGGCATCAGACAGGGCGATGGTCTTAGTCCGCTGCTTTTTAATATATACTTAAATGATATTAAAAGTCATATAAATGCATCACACAATGACCTACCAACTTTATTAAATAACCAACTTCCATGTTTACTTTATGCAGATGACTTGCTTCTCCTTTCAGAAACCAATACAGGTCTTCAGAATGCGATTAATTCCCTGCAATTATACTGCCACAAATGGAAGTTGGAGATCAACATTAACAAATCTAAAACAATCATATTTAACAAAGCAGGTAGACGCCTAGACAAATATAATTTTTTTATAAACCAGGATGTACTGGAAAGAGTGACATCATACACTTACCTTGGCAAAAATTTAAATACAACAGGGAAATTAGAAAAAGCCCAGGTAGACCTAAAAAACAAAGCTCTTAAGGCCTGCTTCAAAATGAATCAGCTATTATTTTCGGCAACTTGTACAATGCTCAGAATTCATTTGAAGATGTTTGATGCAGTAGTTAGACCAATTCTCCTATACTGCACTGAAATATGGTCTAGTGATATTATTGCCCACACAAAACAGCTTTGGAATTTGACAACACCCATGGAAAAACTCCATACCAAATTCTGCAAGTTTTTATTAAAGGTGAACAGCAGAGCCTCAAACTTGCCATGTTTAATTGAATTAGGGAGGTACCCTCTTACAATACAGGGTACAAAACAATTGTTAAAATATTGGATGAGGGTTCAGGAAATGCCTGAAAATACATTAGTATGTGAAGCATACAAGCTTGGTATTAAGATGCATGATTCTGGTACTAAAAACTGGATATCTGGTGTGAAAAAGATTTTGGAAAACCTAAATTTAAGTAATATCTGGAAAGATGGGCAAATTAAATACAACAATGCTACTATTGAAAACATTACAGAAAAAACTTAAAATGCAATTCCAGAAAAAAAGTAAAGAATGCATGTTTGATGATGATAAGGACATGCATCACAAAAACAAATTGAGAACATACAGAGAAATAAAAACTGATTTTTCTTTTGAGAAATACCTCCAAATAATTAAAAATCCACTATATCGTGCTGCAATGACTAAACTTAGAATAAGTGCCCACCGTTTACAGATTGAATCAGGCAGATATAAAAACATCTCCATCTCTGATAGAATATGCCCTGTCTGTGATCTTGGAGAAATTGAAGATGAGAAACATTTCCTTTTCCGGTGCCAGCTATATGATAAAGAGAGAACCAGCCTTTTTACTAAACATAAAATGTATGGAGAGACATTAATAAACATATTAAATAATAAAAACGATCACATAATTAAAGACGTTTCAAAACACATTTATACTTGCTTTATGCTTAGGGAGCAAAAAATCAAACAATAACTTCAGTACCAGCTGCCTCAACCCCCCCCCCCCCACAAAACACAGATTTACATTTACATTATATTACAATTATTCATTTATCTCTTATTGTGAGATATGTATTTATTTCATTCATTTACAGTATTTTTAGTATTTCCTTTTATTTTCATTTTTTTTTATTATTACATGTTTTTGACTTTATTGTATTTTATGTCAAGATCTCAAATGGGATACGATAGCAATA